TCGTCGCGGCCACTGCGACGAGCCCCCCAACTGTCTGGGCCGCTGCTGCAACCAACGCTACCTGAACCACCAGGCCCCCATGGTTGTTGAGGGCGCCACTGCTGCTGAGGGCGCCACTACTGCTGAAACTGCCGCTGCTGCTGTCCCTGCTGCTGGAGAACTCTGGTGGACGCAATGGTAAAGGCTAGCGGGGTTCAGGAGCGGCGGGCTAGGAGCATCTGAAGCGAGGAGCGGAGGACAGGTAGGAGCGTCAGGTGAAACTAGGCGAGGAACGGCCAGAGCACCAAGCAAACTGAGCTAGGAGCGAGGAGCAAGAACACCAAGGAGCGCCAAGTGAATCTAGGCAAGGAACGGCCGGAGCACGGAGCAAACTGAGCTAGGAGCGAGGAGCAAGAACAGCTAGGAGCGCCATGTGAATCTAGGCGAGTAATGGCCGGAGCACGGAGAAAACTGAGCTAGAAGCGACGGGAAGGAGGAACGGCTGGAGTGAGGCACGAGCGGAGCTAGAAACGTCAGGCTAGAAACTACGGGCTTAAGGAGCGGCTAGAGCGAGGAGCGAGAACAGCTAGGAGCGCCAGGTGAAACTAGGGGAGGAACGGCCGGAGCACGGAGCAAACTGAGCTAGGAGTGAGGAGCGAGAACAACTAGGAGCGCCAGGTGAAACTAGGCGAGGAACGGCCGGAGCACGGAGCAAACTGAGCTAGGAGCGAGGAGCGAAAAACTATGGGAGCGCTAGGTGAAACCACGCGAGGAACGGTCGGAGTACGGAGCAAATTGAGCATCAGGAGCTGGGAGCTAGGAGCAAACGGTCCCAAGGTCGGGCTACAGGAGAGAAAAGCGGCTGCCAGCCGCTGATAGTGAAACTCACTAATAGTAGGAACAGCGAGGAGGGGGGGGGGGGGGGGGGGGGGGGGGGGGGGGGGAGGGGGGGTAAGGAGGGCATGAGGGGCTGTGGGGCGGTTATGAGGGGCTGTGGGGCGAGCGCTCTAGCTGGGGCGCGCGGTCTGGCTAGGGGTACGCGCTTTGGCTGGAGCGCGCGCGTTCTGGCTGGGTCGTGCGCTGCTGGCTGGGGCGCGCGATTCTGGCTAGGGCGCGGGCTCTGGCTAGGGGCGCGCGCTCTGGTTGGGGTGCACGCTCTGGCTGGGGCGCGTGCGTGCTGGCTGGAGCGTGCGTTGCTGGCCGGGGCACGCGCTACTGGCTGGGGCGCGGGCTCTGGCAAGGGGTGCGCGTTCTCGCTGGGGCGCGCGCTGCTGGCTGGGGCGCGCGCTACTGGCTAGGGCGCGCGCTGCTGGCAGGGGCGCGCGATCCTGGCTGGGGCGCGCGCTACTGGCTGGGACCAGGGCTATTGCTAGGATTTTTGCTAGCTCGGACGATCCGGGCCCCTGTGAAAAAGACCCTGTAAATTACGAGCCAGCGGGAAAAAAGCCTTCACAAATCCGGGCTCGAGCCAGAAAAGGCCTGAAAGCCTACCTTACCAGAATCTCGCGGGATGGGGCTATGATCGTAAAACTCACAGTGGGTGAGAGACTCACTGTGAGTTTTACGAAGGCTGGGAAGGTTGGCCATTAAAAAGCGACGCTAGAGGGGGGAGAGAGACTTTCTGTATACTTAGAAATTTTTATTCGTGGAGGAGTGCTAATAGCCACCTCAACGTAGTACCGGAAGTCAAACACCAGGAGGCCAAACCAGGAGCGAATGCTAAGGAAAATTCACTGAAAGTGGCCTATGCGTTGTACACGGGGAGAGGGAGGGGATGCGAGGCAGGTCGGGGACGATAAGTGTTCTAAAACTATCCGGGTCCCCTTGAAAACACCCCTGAGTATTCCGAGTGGGCTCAAAAATCACCCTTCAGTTTTACGGGCTGGTCCAAAAATTACCTTGTAAAAATCAGGGTTGCTGTGAAAAAAACCTTATAATTTCAGTCAAAACAGGGTAATTGCTTTGATAACGTAGGCCCTGGCTGGGACGCGCGCTGCTGGCTGGGGCACGCGATCCTGGCTGGGACGCGGGCTCTGGCTAGTGGCGCGCGTTCGGGCTGGGGCGCGCCCTGCTAGCTGGGGCGCACGCTACTGGCTGGGGCGAGAGGGCGGAAACTAGGGCGCGAGGCACCGCGGGGGAGCGGACGGAGCGAGGTAGGTTATGCAAGGCAAGAGTAGGCTAAGGGTACATTCTCATTTGGACATTTGTATCTCAATCACTTTGTGACGCGTAAAAACAACATTAATTATAGTGTGTCACAATCTTGCATCGCCTGTCAAATGTTTATATCGTTTAGATATAGTTAGTTATTATAGGTTGCAGTGAGTTTCTTTTTGAAGGGTACAGCACTTTGTTTAGGTTAACACCGGGGTACACATTCAGGATGGGGAACAGTAAATTTGGGGGTTTAGGCCAAATTTGGTCGTAATGTGGGATCAAGGGATAACCCCTGATGCCCACCCAGGTGAATGTGCACCCCGGTTTTAATACTCTGTATCCTCTTGCTATCGTTCCCTCAACCCAGTTCTCTCGATACTACTTCCTAGCCTATTTTAAGATGGTATTAGAGTAGGTTTTTTTTTTCCTCCCACACTTCCGCTCCCTCCCTTAGTTGCCCTCGAGGGGCCGTCCCTTAGGCCATGTTACGCCGCGGGTAGGACGGCCCTCGCGGGCCTCGTTTTCGTCGCGTCTAGAGGCCCCTGCGGGCTCGTTTAGTCACGCTCAAGGGCCCCCCCGGGCCCTCGTTTCGTCGCGCTCCAGAAGCCCCCCCCCCCCCCCCAGCGGGCCCGCGTAGTCGCGCGCGCCTGCAGAGCCGCACGCGTCCCTCCAGAGAAGCCCGTGCCACCCTACAGAGCAGCGCGTGCCCCTGCAGAGCAGCGCGCGCCCCTGTAAAGCAGTCCGCGCCACCCTGCAGAGCAGCGCGCACCCTTGCAGAGCAGCCCGCGCCACTCTACAGAGCAGTGCGCGCCACAGCATAGCAGCGTGCGCCCCTGCAGATCAGCACGCACCACTCTGCAGAGCAGCGTGTGCTACAGCAGAGCAACGCGCCCCTGCAAATTAGTGCACGCCACCCAGTAGAGCAGCGCGCGCCATTGCAGCTGCTCACAGGCCTTCACAGCCGCCCAAAGGCCTTCCCAGCTACTCACAGACCTTTCCCAACCGCCACAGTGCACCATAACTGCCACTTCAATACTACGCCTACTACCATAGGCATCTCCAGTGGCAGCTGGCAGCCACATTTACTTCTACTGGCGCGGATTAGGGTTAGTACCCCGACGCTACTGGCGTTCCTAGCCCCGTTCGCTCCTCACTTCAGTCTCTCCTAGCTCCAGCCGTTTCAACTCCAGCCATTCTCGCTCTAGCCGTTTTCGCTCTAGCCGTTCTAGGTCCAGCCGTTTCAGCTCCAACCATTCTAGCTCCAACCGTTCTCGTTTCGGCCTTTCTCGCTCCAGCCGTTTTAGCTCCAGCTGTTTATCGCTCCAGCCGTTCTACTTCCAGCCGTTCTAGGTCCAGCTGTTTCAACTCCAGCCGTTCTAGCTCCAGCCTTTCTAGCTCCAGCCATTTCAGTTCCAGCGGTTCTCGCTCCAGTTGTTCTCGCTCCAGCCGTTCTAGCTCCATCCGTTTCAGCTCCAGCCGTTCTAGCTCCATCCGTTTCATCTCCATCCGTTTCAGCTCGAGCTGTTCTAGCACCAGCCGTTCTAGCTCTAGCTGTTCTAGCACCAGCCGTTCTAGCTCCAGCTGTTCTAGCACCACCTATTCTAGCTCCAGCTGTTCTAGCACCAGTCGTTCTAGCTCCAGCCGCCTACAACCTTTTGTCACTCCTCGCTGCAACTGCTCCTCGTACCAGCCATTCCTAGCTTGGTGGTCCTTGCTGTTTCTACCTCCAATAGTCCCTCACGCCCTTTGCCCAGCTAGCCTTTTCCCATGGCGTCTACTCGGGCCTTACAGCGGCAGGGGCAGCAGCAGTTTCAGCAGTGGGGACCCCAGCAGCCATGGCGCTCTCCGCAGTAGTGGCACCCTCCGCAGCAGTGGGGGCCTCGTGGTCCAGGGAGCGTCCGCCCAAACGGCTAGAGGGGCAATCGTGGTGGCCGCGACGTTGGACCTTGCCAGTACCGGATCTTGACCAGCTCTCGCGCTGGCATTACTTGCTGGCGTCCAGACCACTCTGCACGGCACTGCTACAGCCGTCTCGACGACCTTTACCGTGAGTGTTTTGGGCTTGACTCGGTTCCACTAATCTGGCCCGGTCTGTCTCGTAGTGGTTACCCTGTGTTTGATATGTCTATGGATGCTGTTTATTCTGTCACGTATGGATCTCTTGGCTTGCGTGTACCTAGTCTAGGATCTTTGCCTGTTGCTAGTGTAGGTACTTGTGCTTTTAGTGTAGGTGCTTGTGTAGTCACTAGTCCAGCCGTGACGACTGCTGTTGCGTCGCTCTCCTTCACGCTGGACTCAAGCGCGTCCCAGTGTTTCTTCGGTGACCACACCATTGTCACACCTCTTTCGGCACCAGTCCCAGTTGCCTTGGCTGATCCTACTTCAGGACCAGCAGTCGCTCGCAGCTCGACCACTTTTCCGTGCCCGGCTGTCCCTTCTGGTTTCCTCACTGGTCTCTACATCCCCTCGTTCTCTCGGAACTTGGTGGGTGTTGGATACCTTCAGGACCGTGGGATCACAGTTACTTTTTTTCGGCGCACGGGAGGACAGCGATCTGTATGCACGCTTCCACTGGGGCACCTCTTGCCACGTTCACCAGGGAGCCCCACTCAGGTCTCTTTGTTATGCACACTGCGTCCCACTACGTAGCAGAGTGCGGTTAGGTTACTGCGTCCCACCAGGTAGCAGAGTCCGGTCAGGTTACTGCGTCCCTCCAGGTAGCCGAGTCCGGTCCGGTTCCTGCGTCCCCACAGGTTGCTGTGTCTGGTCTGGTTGCTGCGTCTTGCTCTTGCCGTTCACTCTCTCACCCGACAGTCTTGTGGCACCACCGTCTTGGTCACCCGTCCATCCCGCACCTCTGCAGC